TCTCACGGAACCCTGCGTTCTTTCTGAAGTATTTGCACTTGCTGTTCCTGAATCGGACGTTCCAGAGCTTGTATCGTTACGTCGAGGTGCCTGTTGACCAACAGGGGGTGGAGTTTCTTTAGCTGTTGGAGACTGCTTCTGTTGTGAAGTTCCAACCGCTTTAGAGATAGCGGGTCCACTAGGAGGTGGCGCTGGAGCGGGTCCACTAGGAGGTGGCGCTGGAGCGGGATTTGGTTTGCCATTTGTCTGGCTATCTGTAGACTTACAATTATATATAAGAGCTATAGTAGCGCGTTTCTGGGGAGATGCACCGGAAGATAGCTTGGAACTTGGCAATGTTTTGTCGGTCCTGGGTGGGAGGGGCGAAACAATTAGATCACTTTCTTGTGTCATGGGTGAGGTCATAATCTGTCTGGGAGTACTAAGCCTAGCGGTGCTTATCGCTTGTGAATTTCGGAGCTCCTGCTAGAGGAGGCTTGGTGGTCGTCGCAGGAGCACCCGCTGTACTGACGGGGGGAGCTGGCGTGGTGTCGCGCTTTTTTGCAGCTACTTGTGCGACAGCTGTAGATCCTGGTGCTGGTGCAGATTTTGTAGCAGCCGCTGTCTTCGCTCCCGAAGGGGTCTCAAATGCGTCCATCAAAGAGAGCAACTGAGTCTTTCTCTGTTGCATCTCAGAACCTGAAAAGGGAAATCAGCCAATGCAGGCTTTGTCTTTATGAACGTACACATTACCTTTTGTATCTGGTGGTGCAGTCGGACCTATGAGACAGTCATCGTTATTGGTTGCAGCTTTCTCCTTGGGCTGGCGAGAGCCTGAAAAGATGAGGTGCCTTCATATCACAAGCATCGTTCAAAAAAGTCCTAAGAATCCTCAAATTCAAGCACGGGCAGCCTTTCGTCATCCTATTACGTTAAGAAAATGAGACGTGATGTGACTGACGATCAAATACTCACATGGATCAGGGCTCTTCGCCATAGCGTCTGCTGCCAGCTTTTCAAGGAGGAGACGTTTTTCCTCGGTCAATCGGTTTGTGTCAAGACGAGGCTTGAGGGTTACGAAAGAGATTTCTAGTCGACGAGATACTTTCATAACCTTAACAGTCGGAACTGTCATGAACTCCATTCAGGAAGTTTTTTCCCTGCTGCGCCCCACGCCTCTACGGACGAATATTTGAGCAGCCCGAAGGCCCTAACAGGACTCTTGAAAAGCTCTCTCCGTCGGCAATGGTCTTGGGAGCGGCGGAGCCCGCCAGTCTGTTCTTATCTATTTAAAGTGCCGAGACTCCTCGGGAGTGAGGACCTGTATTGGCGAAGGCAATGTTGCCCGGACGAGGAGGAAACAGCGTTCACCACCTGCAAGTGGGAGACCCGCTTCAGGGGGGGGGGGGCAGAGTGAAGTCGGCCAACTTCAATGCCAAAGATAGGTGAAACGTCAATTTTTACAAATGTTAGTCTGCAGACAGTCTAAAAGTTTGGTGCTCAGTATGACCGTAGTCAAAAAATAAAGCGCCTTTTATGAAGTGTGGTTTAGTTGAAAGAGAAATTGTTTAATTATTATACTGCTATCTGGGGAGTGATGTCCTTAGAACAAGACCACTCGTCAGGGTGCTCACTTGAAGGCAACGTTTGCGTTCGGAGGATAGCCCACTATAAATGAAGGTAGAGGTGTCCAATGATGCAGGGATGAAGAAAAAAAAACAAGAAAAAGGGCGCAGAACCCAAGATACGAGACCCCATTTCGCTGATTTGCGCGTTTGGCTGACTCACGATGACCTCATCAAAGGGAACGTTCACTCTGCTAGCTGGTTGGAGCCGGACAACAAGGGGTGGGCGGGCAGCGGCACGTGAGCAGCAAGTGAGTTGGGTCGCGTCGTCAGAGGGCCACTTGCCTCCTCCCTAGGGTGCACTTCACAGTCTCGACCTTTGAAAAGTGGAATCCTCCTTTAAAACAGATGACCAACCGACGCAGCGTTTCCGTCTGTTCCGCAGTAGTTAGGTGCGGAAAAGATTGTGACTAACTTCCGATCGTACATGAATTGGTGTCCACCCTGAATTTGGATTGGCTATTTTCAGCTATTAGACGTTTTGCTATCACATCGAAGTAGTTGTAATGGCTCAGAACTTCTTTTGCTATTGCTAACAATTTTTCCAAGACCTTGATTATTTTTAATCCAGTTTGGCCAAAGCTAACAGACTACTATTTACCCTCACGACTTCATGTGCTCGAACGACCATTGAGATGTCAAGCATATCACAGATATTCGCAATGGTGTCACCACCAAAGATATATGAAGTAGCTCGTGTCTGAAATTGTGCTCGTCGTAAAAATATGTCTATTTTGTTGCATTCGAAAGGTTCTGGTGACCC